TTGGTGTAAATCGAACACATTTGTGGAGTTGTTTAAATATGTTGGATTTTAAACTGTCGTACAATTTTTTTCATCGATAGTCTGTAATTGGAACCATAACTTTTTTTTTATTCAAATTGTATTAATATGTAAAGACCAAGTGTAACCTATATCATTGTTAAATCTTATCTTATAAAATCAGTGGAATTTCAAAATCATTAAAATTCATGGCTCCTGCTGCATTGCACGGATACACAACTAATTATATAAAAATGTTGACTTTGTTACAAACTTAAAAGGATTTCCTTGTATGTTGTTCAATTAATATTGGAAGAGAAAGAATATTCCATTTTTTATTATATTTGTTAGAAAGGAGCAAAATGAACAAAACAAAATATTATTTTATAAAAAAGATTGTTGGGTTTTAAATGTATTGTATATTTTAAATATATAATTAATATTAAAATTTCAAATTTGGAAAAATTATTAAGTTTGAATTTAATATTTTTTTTTTAAAGTTTATTTTTATTTATAGTTTTATCTTAAAAAATATGAAGAAAATGTTAGAGATGTTTTTAGTGGCCAAGTTAAATTCTAGATCAAAAACGACTTCTTTATTATTAAATTTTGTTAGTTATATGTATATATAACGACATGTGAAAAATACGAGAAGATGAGAATAGATTACGTATGTCAATCTGATCGAATCAAAAATAAAATTGACAACAACATTTTTTAAAAAATTATTAAAAAATCAAGAGTTTGTTTTAATCAGATTTATTGTGTCAAAAAAAATTAAAAGAGGAATCCCCTTGATTTGAGAAGTGTTAAGAAATAATTAAAAAAAATGCAAAAACTAAAAAACAACTACCCTTTTTTTCCAAAATTGAGAGAAATTAAAATTTGAGGAAATATGGGAACTATAAAAAAAATTATTAAAAAAAATACAAGTATGTGATTATGGGAAATGTATATTAGAGACACATGTGGTTATATACATGATTATTGGATTCATACATTTTGAATTTATAAACCAATATTGTATGACCGTGTATACAGATACACAATCATATGTGATCATATATAATGATAATATTGTTAGGGGTGTGTATTGTGTGTGGCGGGTGGGTTCTGTTGCGAAAATTAAAACCCGGTCGAATTTCGGATATGGAAATCAAGCCCCAATCCGAATCCAAATATATATATATATATATATATATATATATGTTTCGGGATTTCGGAAAGATCGAGTGGTCAAAAATCAAACCCAAACCGAATCCAAATTTTCTCCAAAAAGTCGGTTTTTTGATTTCAGGGCATTTAGATTTTACATAAATACCTTATTTTCGGTTCGGGTGTGAATTCGGATTTCAGATAATTCAGGTTTTGTATACCCCTAGTGAATACAAACGAAAGAAATATCGGAAAACTTCAAAAAAAATCTAAGGAACTATGCCATTTGAAAAAAATTATGAATGTTATATTAAAAACAGAAAATATTTTCTTTTTTATAATTTCTCTAGTTTCATTTTTGCCAATTTTAAACATTTTAGTTTTAAAATAATAATAATAATGTCAATTGTTTTTTATTATTAAAAACATGTGTATGTGTATGTGTATATGTATGCGTTAATTATTGAAAGTAGAAAACGCAAGATCATTATCAACAAAGGAATAAATTTGTCATATGTTTTTAATGATACTACTTAAAAGCAT